GATATTAATGAGTTTTTTGGGTTCATTGAGAACATGGTTGTTGTTCAATAATAAAATTATTCCTCAAAAATACAACTTGCCTAATAATTCTGCACTCGCTGTATTCATACAGTTGTGGTGGACCACTGGAGGGCTCCACTCACATCCAGTTCTCAGGAAGTGTTGTTGCTGTGTTTTGGAGGGAAAGTGTTCAGTTCTGTGGTGATGAGTAATAAACGAGCAGTGTTTATCGAGAGCTCTCGTGTCGTCTGTGTTTACCTCCACACAGTTATATTTAACATTCTTGAAGCAAATGATTTATCAGTACTAAGTTATTCTGTGCAGGGTTGTGACAAAAAACAGACTCGTCTTCTGGGATCAGAATTCATCATTCGTGAAAGTCCCTACAAAATTAGAACATATCAAATCTTCAGAAAATTGTACATCACGGAAAGTGGCCCATTTTTTTTTAATATAAAATCCATCTGGATGAAGATTGGTGACATCCATCTGGATGTAAATCCATTTGTTAGAACAGCCTTATAATTTTGTTCATGGGTGAATCAAGATGGCGCCGGTGTGTGTGGCTGCTCGTCTGTCACTGCCAAGTTTGTTTCTGTTTATATTATTTCTAACTTTTGTCATCCACGAAACAAAGTCTCTGCTAAAGTATGATCGCCAGACACTACTGGACCTCCAACCTGTGGTCCAAAATATTGTGTCGTTTAGAGCTGGTGGGCAGCAACCCCTTCCCCCAGTTGTATCGGCAATCCCGGGTTACCTGTACCGGGTTCCTAGGCTACCTTCTCGGCGAAGGCGTCATCGTCGCCGGGGTAAATGAAGCAGTCGGCTGGTGAAGCTAAAGGTTTAACTAAGGAATTGTTCTGCTGTTTTCCGACCAGCACATGGATTATTTCCAAGATTGTTTGTATCTCGGCATTTCCTAGATCCTGTTGATGCCTGTTTGGTGCCTGTGGTCGGCTTTGATGATGCTCCTTGGCCTCGCTGCGCATGCCCTCCCAGGCTAAACCTCCGCCGTCAACATCATCAAAACCTGAGATCGCTGCGTCGGGTTTCTCAAGTTACTGAAACTGGTGCTCCAGTTCCAGCTCCTGCCAGGATTGCCCTGGTGAACGCCAGATCTGATTTTCTGTGACGTGGCTGAGTTTGGTGAGTCCAGTGCTCTATCTGAACTTTTACCAATGGATTGTGCTATTTTAATTCGCCACGGACGTCAGGCAGAGGTGCAGGCACAGGGACTGTTTACAAAAAGGATCACAAATGTAAGCAGTGTTTTCTACAGGCTTCGTTCTCCAGCTTCGAACTTACCTTGTTTTAGGTGAGTTGCTCAAACACGGTTTTCTGCACTGTCATCTATCGTCCCCCGAAATACAATAACAACTTCATAAATGAGATTATGCCCAACTTTAATAGTGTTCTTATTGTTGGAGATTTTAATATGCATGTATGTTGTCCTGATAAGCCACTGGTAAATGACTTTAAGCCTTATTGACTCTTTTAGCCTGGTACAGTCTGTGCCTGGCCCTACACATGAGCATGGACACACACTGGATCTTGTTCTGTCATATGGTCTGCCTGTCAGTAACTAGATTTGTGACTGTGCACTCTTAGATCATATGCCTGTGTTATTCAACGTTGGTTTTACACATACTGCAGTTAAATCTCGCACTGCTGCTCGGCGCTGTCGGGTTATTAACCCCTCCACTGCCGCGCTGTTTTCTGCTGCTTTTAATCAGCTCTGTGGCCCTTCTGACTTTGTTTCTTCTGACACAGAAGAGCTTAATTCCTGGATTTATCTCTCTGCACTGGCTGCCTGTGTCTTTTAGTGTCACGGTCTGGCTGGGGCAG